GGGGGGGAGGGGAAAGAGGAATAACTGTAATAGTCTGAACAATAAAGATTTAATTTAAAAAGAAAAAAGAAAAAAAGAAAGTGGTCAGTGAGTGGTAGTGAAGGTTATGACTGAGATCCCGGTGAAGTCATGGAGCTGTACCTTGGAGCCGTTCAAGATATAGTGCTTCTTATCTTCACTTAGAGAGGCCCTAGTCCGGATGGAGGCAGCATCGCTTCCACTGTAGGGACAGAAACAGGCTGTTGAGGAGAGCAATGCTGGAAATCAATAAGAATGGTTTAGAAGGCCCAAAAACAAAGGTTTTTACTTTAATACAGGAGTTGGCAAATGTTTAAAATACACAGGGCCAGATTATAAATATATTCAGCTTTTCAAGCTACAGGATACCTGTCCCAACTCCTCAATTCTGCAACTGTGGCATAAAGGCAGCCACAGACAATTTGTAAACGAGCAGACATGTTCCAGTAACACTTTGTTTACAAGGGCATGTACCTGGGTTGCAGGTTCAATACTTGGCCCTAGTCAGGAGGCAACCAATAGATGTGTCTCCCTCACATCAATGTTTCACTATCTCTCTCATCTTCTCTCCTCCTCCCTCACTCCTTTCCACTCTAAAATTCAATGAAAAAAATATCCTTGGATGAGGATTAACAACAAACACATGGCCAACCCCTATTTTATCACTTCAGATAAAGAAGCAGTGAAAAATAGTGGGCTTAGGTTTAAACATGAAAATGTGTGCTCAAAATAGACTCATCTAAACTCCTATGAGAATGAGTTCTGGGCACTCAGGTGGAGGGAAGCAAGATGAAGTTCAGTCCAAGTAGCAGACTTGGCATCAGAAGTCCCGGGTCCTATGCCAACCTTGTTAGATCCTAGCTGTGTGACCTTGGGCTTATCATAAACCTCATTGAACCTCAGTTCCTAATCTGTAAAATAGAGACATTACCACGCACCCTCCATACTCTGAAAGTTGCTATGAAGCCTTGAAAGGAGGTGTTGCAAACCACAAAATAATTATTTAATAGGTGCTGTCAGATTTGTTAGCTCACTTATAACTCTCACTAGGAGAGAAAAATAAAGACAAGAGAACTGGCAAGAAAAGTTACTGAGTTGACTCTTGGAAAAATACAGAGAAAGAAGAAATAAAAGTCACCATCTATTCAGCAAAAACTACAGCCCCCCTCCCAGTGCACCCTGGAAGACGCTGTTCCAGGGCAGCTCATGCCAAGCAGACCTGGCCGGCTCCGTCAGGCAGAAGGCGGCAATGTGTTCTCCTGATGCCAGTTTGGGCAGATATTTGGCCTTCTGCTCTTCACTACCGGCCAAGATGATCCCCTAAACAAGACACACAGGCTGATTTTAGCTTTGGAGAGAGAACACTAAAATACGCTGTAGAACATGGCTTCTGAAGGTAATCCTTACTTCATGCAAAAGGAAACACTGAGTCAGAGCTAGTAGCCTCAGGTAAAAAGTCGGGAACCAGACTGCAAAGGACCTACCCTAAAGTGCACACTCCAGAGGGGCCGGGCCTGGAGGCCCAGCAGAGCTTTGGGGTCAGATTCAGGGATTTTCATTATAGCCCCCATTTCCTAGCTGGGTGGTCTTGGGTAAGGGATGTCCCCTCTCTGAGCTCCCATCTCCTCACCCACACACAGGGGATAATTCTACCCACTGCAGGGATGGTTTGGATGAAAAAATGTGAAGAGGTGGGAATGCTAGAGCCATACCAGGCATAAAGGTGTTCAGTCAATGTCAGAACTGTCCCACCCCCTTCTTGGTGCTGAATGGGCATGTCCACTCTTCCCACCGAGAGACTGTATACAGCACACACACCCTGAGAGTGAGGGAGCCAAGCATGCTGTGCACTCAGCTCACTGTGGTGTCTACATTGAGCAAAAACAACCCAAGTAATTGGATTGTTGATAAGAGTGGTGTGACCCTGGACCTGCCATAAAATGTTCTGAGCCCAGTGGGGTGAGGAAGACCAACAGCAGGGAGGACCTGCTCAGGCCACAGGTGAGTGCTCAAGAGCTCAATGGGGGAGGTTCACATCCAGTCTGAGGTGAAGACAGGCTCCGTGGAGGCAGCAGCATCACAACTGGACCTCTAAAGGGCAGGTCAAAGGCAATGGGGACAGGAGGAAGATTCAAAGGGAAGGAACAGTGCAAAGAGCCACTGCTTGTGCAGGGACTGAGCACTATCCAGCAGGGCTGAGAATGGGTGTGCACAAACGAGGCACTGCAGGGCGAGGAGACAGGTGCAGGCTAGGCCCTCCTCCCAAACCCTGAGACAGCAAGCACAATTCACTTCCTGAAGGTCTTCTGGAGTCATAGAAAGCATCCCCAGATACTTGACCTTGAGGCCAATGGCCTGGTGTGCTGCCAGGGTCACAGCAATTGACCCGTCCAGGCCGACAATCTCCCCTAGCCGCGCATACATGGTGTTGGAGAGGCCCAGGCCACCTAGAGGAGAAACAGACCAGTTTTACTTATAGTCCAGTCCTAAATTCCTCCCATTAAAGGCAAATGGCTTTACTGGTCTTTTCTGATTATGAAAGAATGACAGGCCCTAGCCGGTTTGGCTCAGTGGATGGAGCGTCGGCCTGAGGACTGAAGGGTCCCGGGTTCAGTTCCGGTCAGGGGCATGTGCCTTGGTTGCGGGCATGTTCCCAGTGGGGGGTGTGCAGGAGGCGACTGATCGATGTTTCTCTCTCATTGATGTTTCGGGCTCTCTGTCCCTCTCCCTTCCTCTCTGTAGAAAACCAATAAAATATATTTTTTAAAAAAATTTAAAAAAAGAAAAAAGAATGGCAGATCACCATTTTTAAAAAAAATCACAATACAGAAAGGTACAAAGAAAACAAAAGTCACCCATAAACATCATTCATATTTTTGTGTATATCTTGTCAGACTTTTCTAGGCATATGAGCATATATAGATTTATTTTTAACATAGAAGTATATAATCTATAATACAAAAATATAAAAATATCCTTACATCATTTAATATGTTGTGATTATCTCCTGTCAGATATAGATCTTTGTGAATCAAAGAGCTTTCCAGGGTCTCATTCCAGAGTCCAGTGGACTCCAGGACAGATATTATTCTGCGTGGTACTATTAACATTTTAGGATGGATCATTCTTTGTTGCGGGGACTGTTCTGTGCACTGTAGGATGTTTAGCAGCATTCTTGGCCTCCACCCACTAGATGCCAGAAGTCCCCCTCCCCACAGTTTGACAACCAAAAATTCTCTAGACATTGTCCAATGTCTCCTGAGGGACAAAATCATCCTAGCTGGGAATCATTATTCTGGAGTAAAAAGACAAAGATTAAAGAAACAAAAACAAAACCTTCACTGAACTTACATATTTTGCATTTCATCTTCAACTTCCACAGGTGGCTGAGTGACCATATGTGCATCTTACAAATGATGAACTGAGGCCTAAGATCATGCGGCCAAAATGTAGCAGGGCTGGGGCGCTGTCACTGGAGCCACCATTCACATACAAAGGGAGGGCTGAGTCCCTGCAGAGATGTGGACTGGCCCTGCCTAGTGTGTAGTCCATGGGTTCAATGGTGGCACTAGGAAGGCCAGGGCTCTGCAGTACCACTTCCCCCCTTTCCACCTGTTTCAATCAAAACACTTTTATTTATTTCATACTAGAGGCTCGGTGCATGAAATTTGTGCGGGGGGGGGGGGGTCCCTCAGCCTGGCCTGCACCTTCTCCAATCTGGGCCCCTCAGGGGATGTCTGACTGCCGGTTTAGGCCCAATCCTTCACCGGCAGTCGGACAGCTCTCTCACAATCCGAGACTGCTGGCTCCTAACTGCTCACCTGCCTGCCTGCCTGATCGCCCCCTAACCGCTCCCTTGCTGGCCTGATTGATGCCTAACTCCTCCCCTGCTGGCCTCATCGCCACCAACTGCCCTCCCCTCCTGGCCTGTTCACCCCCAACTGCCCTCTCCTGCCGGCCCGATCGCCCCCAACTGCCTTCCCCTGCCTGCCATCTTTGTGGTAGCCATCTTGTGATGACGTCGCACAAGGGTGTGACACCACCTAGGCTTTTATTATATAGGATACTGAGGGAATCAATTTTGTTTGTTAAAGAAATAAATTCCAATGTCCCCCCCCCCCCGACCACCACCCTCGGAAAGTTATCACTAAAGTCATGGGGATAGCAATCATATGCAAAAGGATGACATGTGGGTGGAGACTGCTGGCCGACAGACCTGGTTGGCCGCAGGGAACCAGGAAGGAAATGCAGGCTCAGTTGGTAGAAAGGCCTCCATTTCCCTGGATGGAAGTTTCTAACCACTCCCTAAAATGCTCCAGACTGGAAACAGTTCCCCAAAACTTTGGGGGCATGAACATAAGGTTGCTTTTTTCCAAAGAAAGGGGGGGAAAGAAGCCCCAAATATGGCCATTAACATCTCATGAAAGAGCAATTTCATATCAGAAAGTAGGACATAAAACAAGAATAAGGGATGGAAAGTTCTGCAATATCACACCAACATAGCCATGCATGTGTATATACACCCAATACATGCTGGCATATTAGATATGCAGATGTAAAAGACATATCCCAATTTTACAAAGAAATTGTTTGGGAGAAAAATTAAGTCCTTTTCATCAATCAATAAATGATTTAAAAATTATCTTGAAGGGGAAATATATATTACTACTAACCTGATTATGTCTAGAGCAGTGGTTCTCAACCTTCTGGCCCTTTTAATACAGTTCCTCATGTTGTGATCCAACCATAAAATTATTTTCATAGCTACTTCATAACTGTAATGTTGCTACTGTTATGAATCATAATGTAAATATCTGATATGATGCAGGATGGTCTTAGGCGACCCCTGTGAAAGGGTTCGACCGCCAAAGGGGTCGCGACCCACAGGTTGAGAACTGCTGGTCTAGAGCAGTGATGGCGAACCTATGACACGCGTATCAGAGGTGACACACGAACTCATTTTTTTGGTTGATTTTTCATATATTTAAATGCCATTCATATTTAAATGGCATTTAAATATCTTACCTAATAACAGACAAACATGGTAATTGACCATACCTTCGCTATGCCTCCCATTGGCTAATCAGTGAGATATGCAAATTAACTGCCAACAAAGATGGCGGCCGGCAGCCACGGAGCTGGAACGAGCAGGAGGCTTGCTTGCTCCAGTGATGGAGGAAGCCAAGGTTCCCCGCCTGCCGTGGCCTGGCTCTGAGCTCCGAAAGCAACAAAGTTTCAATTATAGAAGCTAAACAAACCCCAGATACCTGCTTTCAGCAGGCC